ATTGCTTTTCAATTTGAAAAGCATAGGTCTCTAACTAGCAAGGTTACTTACCTAAAAAGTAAACTAATTTCTTTGGTTTCAAAGGATTTTATAATATACATTGCATTCACTCATGGTTCTTGACTTTAACACAGACCTTATGCTAAATTTGGTCTCCCAGCATTCTAAAGTTGCACATGACTGGAATCCAATCAAACTTGCTTAAACATAAAGGAAATTTGCCAGGCCAAATCATAAGGAAGACCAGGGCAAAGATGGCTCCCAGCAGGTTTTTTGCTATGAAAGCAAGAAAATGTAACTAGATCACTATCTCTCTACCCCAAACTTCTAGTCACCTCTAATTTATTTTTTCCTACTTATGTGGTTTCTACATGCAGCAAAAAAGATGTCTGCTAACAGGTCCCAGTCTTACCTTCTGAGGTCTCATCACTCCCAAAAGAGAGAGCTTCATGTTTTTCCAAATCTTTGCATGTGAAATTGAGAAGGAATTCTTTTTGTTCCTGTATAATCTTTGTTTCCAACCTTCTAAACAAGGCAGTAAGCATGTAGGTTAGTAGTCCAACTAGATAATAGCTGTTCTCTGGAATTTGTTTAATTGACTATGTGATGGTATGTCATTATATTCTCTTGACTATACTAAAAACAGTCAAATTTGCCATATTATGCAATGATATTTTTAAAATTACATCAAATTTCAAATATATTTATCTGAAGTATTAAAATAAGTAAGAGACTTTTTAAAAAAAATTTAGCCTAATCCCTGCATATTATGAATTTATAATCTATTCATAGTCTTCTTATGGCAATTGTATTAGGTAACTTAAATAAAACATTATAGTATCATGTATGAATAGACAATCAGTAGGCCTCTTTATTACATGATTTTATTATTAGAATTAATAAAAGCATAATGCATTATCACATACTCTATTACTGCTTCTTAGTATACTCTTTTGGAAAAAGGGTATGTATATATACATGTAGAATGGTATTACTTTTCAAAATTGAAAACAAATATAGGTAAAAGGTTGCTTTTTAATGTAAGCTGGCTTTCTAAAAATGCCACTGAATTTAGTAAAATGGCCTGTTTTCTCGGGGATATTGGGGATAGTCAGTTTAAAACCTTGATTTATTCTTATTCTGTGAATAGAGCTAAGGAACAGATTTTCATTTTGACAAATGATTTGCACGTGATTTTATGTAGTTACCCTTCATGCACATGTATGTGTTGTTTTGTCAAACCAACATCCTTCCATTTTGGAAACTGTTCCTCCTATTCTCCTCTTTACATCCCCCATCACAGTGCAAACACACATATCACCAAGTTCTAGCATGTAAATCATGAGTTAGATTATCCCTGTTCATTGGAAAAAGTTAATTTTCCCAGTGGGAACATGTAATCCACATAGGAACAAAACGTTTCTGCTGAGGCTCATGTGGATTCGAGGAGATGGGCTCTCTCAATGAGATTCTTTTTTTTTTTTTTTAAAGGAAAGCTTGGAACTTTCAGGAGCCACCCTTGTCCTACAAGAGTAGAGCATGAAGTCAACATGAGGAAAGGCAAAGTTGAAATTAGTAGGTAGGTAGGTAGATGGATGGTGAATAAATAATGGAAGAATGGAAGAATGGAAGGGAGAAAGGAAGGAACTTTTGTTGTATCTTGACCTTCTGAATCAGGCAACTTCTTGTGATATCTAGTTATATGAATTAATTGTCCTTAAGCTGATGGGAACTCTATGATGTTCAGCAGAAAGAACTATTAAATCCTATTTAACTTAAAGCTTACTGAAATCATGTGTGTGAATTCCATCTCTTTTCCACAGATTGGAGATTTCATTCGCAATGACATTAGATGCTACACCAAACTGGCCACAACTATTCACATAACTGTAATTTTTACAGTTTCTGAGATATAAATAAGGTAAGTTTCATTTTAATTCTACCCACATATGTGATACGTGCTACTTTTATTTCCTTTTAAATATTTATTTATTTACTTGAGAGGTCTAGTTACAGAGAGAGAGGGAGAGAGGGAGAGAAGAGGTCTTCCATCCACTGGTTCACTCCCCAAAAGGCTGCAAAGGCTGGAGCTGAGCCAATCCAAAGCCAGGAACCAAGTGCTTCTTCTGGGTTCTCCCATGTGGTTGTAGGGGACCAAGCACTTGAGTCATCCTCCACTACTTTCCCAGAGCATCAGCAGGGAGCTGGATCAGAAGTGGAGCAGCCAGGACTCGAACTGGCATCCATTTGGGATGCTGGCACCACAGGCAGCTTCTTATCGTACTATGCCACACAGTGCTGGCCCTGCTACATTTCTTAATATTCAATTTTATTGTTCCATTTAACTTTATAAAACAGAAGATACTTAAATGGTCAAATTTGCCTTACTGTGGTAACTATAGACCATGCTTCAGCTAAATGGATATGATATATTTGTATGCACATGCCTGCATGACAGTGTTTGGGGAAAAGATAGAGAAAATAATAATTGATTGCTTTCACATTGAAAATAAACCATGGGTGGGCAAGTGTAACAACAGGTCAAGCCGTGACTTGAGGCACTTGCATCCCATATCAGAGTGCCAGTTCACGTCCTGGCTGCTTAGCTCCTGATCTAGCTCTCTGCTAATGCATCGGAGAAGCAGCAGAAAACGGCCCAAGTTCATGATTCCATGCCACCACGTGAGAAACCAGATGGAATTCTTGAGCAAGCAGATGGAAGACTGTTTCTCTCCCTCTCTCTCTTTCTCATCCTGTCTTTCAAATAAATAAATTTCAAAAAAAGAAAATCTAGTCAGAAGTTACCAGTCAACAGTTTGTCAAGGGGAGTGCCTCTTAAACTTCAATGTGCATACAAATTACCCAGGATCTTATTAAGCTGTGGATTGTAATTTACTAGATCCTGAGTGAGGCTCAAGATTCTACATTCCCAACAAGATCCTTAATGGTGTCAATATTGTTGGCCATCAGTCTGCATTTTGAACATTAAAGACTAGGATACCTAACCCAACAAAGGTGTATGCACCAGAAATGCAGTCTCTAATAAGACTCTGTAGGTCTCCAAAGCTAATGAAAAATGCACTGCTAACACAAAAATCCAACAGTGATGGATCTGATAGCTTCAGTAAGTTTGAAATATTCATACATCTTTATTGATGCAAAATATCAAAAATATAATGTACTAAATATTTGGTTGACCTTGAATCATATGAAAGAAGAAAAACAATGCAATCTAAAGAAAGAATAAATTTTCCATTGCTTTTCTTTACTGACATAAACCACAAAAATTAATAAATGATTGTGGTGAGAAGTAAGTGAAGAAACTAAGAATTATTTGTAGGAAAAGATAAGGATGCTCTTACCAGAGAGAGTTACTGCTGAATATTATAATTGTGATTCTGGGACAAATTATTTTAGTAAGGAACTCATAGTAAGAATCCATATTTCTATCCTTTGACAGATACTTGGAAATACTGAGTGACATTTATATTTAAATGGCAAGACTGTCTGCATTTATGGAAAGTAACGCCTACATTACTACCAATCAGAACTATTTAATATTAAGATGTGTACTTTCAGTATTTTTTGATATTGAAAATCTCTAATAAAGAGCAACAGTGCCTTAATGGAAGTTCCAAGAAATGGAAATCTCACCCTTTGTTGTCAGATCAATTTACTTTCAAGCAATTTTTTAAACAATGATCTCATGCATTATTTTTTGGCATAAATGTGTTTCAGTGCTATTTACATAGAATATACATATCTGTTTTACATGCTTACTATAAAATTAAGTAAAGCAAACTCAATAAATGTCTGTTCAACTGCATTAGAACACACGCATAGTTATCTATATGTATACCCATATACTGACTAAATGCTTCATATTGGTTACTGGTGTTCAACTTAGAGTCAAATCTCTAATTTTCTTTTATTAATAACTAAGTACAAACACTGTTTCTTTTGCAAATAAATAAATAATGATTGCATCTGAAGAGTATGCTGAAATTCATGTTCTTGAAAAATCAGAAGTTGAGACTAAGCTTCATCTGTTATCTGCATAAAAAAGTTAATCTTAGAATTCTTCAGGGTATGTCTAACTTCCAAGATCAATTACTTTCTTTTCTATTTTTAAATACATATTTGTTTCAACATTTATTTTTTCCAAATATAAATATTTGGAAATATAAATATTCCAAATATTAATTCCAAATACACTACATGGGTAAAGATTTAAAAATATGTAATAGGAAAAAGCTTCCCATATTCAAAAATTTCAACAACACTAGTTTGTTAACAATTTGGTGATACTCTTCAATATATTGTTTTGTGGTCATTAAAAAGCAATTTAGGGGGTTGGCGCTGTGGCGCAGAGGGTTAAAGCCCTGGCCTGAAGCGCCGGCATCCCATATGGGTGCCAGTTCTAGTCCTGGCTGCTCCTCTTCCAATCCAGCTCTCTGCTATGGCCTGGGAAAGCAGTAGAAGATGGCCAAGTCCTTGGGTCCCTGCACCCACGTAGGAGACCCGGAGGAAGCTCCTGACACCTGGCTTCAGATTGGCACAGCTCCAGCCGTTGTGGCCATCTCGGGAGTGAACCAGCGGATGGAAGACCTCTCTCTCTGTCTCTACCTCTCTCTGTAACTCTGACTTTCAAATAAATAAATAAATCTTTTTTTAAAAAAGGCAATTTAATAATTGATTTATTTGGAAAACTTAATTCCTGAAATAAGACAGAAAGTTTTTGTTTTGTTTTTGTTTTATGAAACCAGATCAGGTAGGGACTGTAGATCTTAAAGAACAAACTAGTAGTAGGTAAGTTAATGATTGAATGAGTTCTCTCGGTTTCTTTTTTTTTTAACTTTGCATGTTCCATCCTGGCTTTTAGAAAGGCATGCAAACAGGGAACGCAGACACAAATGAAAAGGTACACAAGAAGCCTCTTTTCTCTAGCCAAATGATGGCAAAAAAGGACAGTCCAAGAATACAAAAGGTTTGCACAGTACCTGTCCTGTTCTAGGTGAACAGCCTCAGCAAATCACGCCCTTCCCTTTCCCAGAGGGTACGAAGCCAACGGAGAAGTAAAACAGAACCCCGGCCCCCATTCCACATCTGCAGTGATGAAGTAATGCCATTGTCTTTTCCCACTTGGCTCTGGAACTTTGGAGGCTGTAGGCATTGCCAGGGTTACCTTCTTGCCCCGGAATAATGACATAAAGGTACCTTTCACTCCCAACGAGATAGTAGGAAGGAGAATATGAAGAGATATAAATGTGTTTTCTACATGTGGTATATAAAGTCCTGGGCTTTCATTTGTGAAATGAAAAGCAGCACAACAAAGGTTTGATAACTGAAGCCCACTGTGGAATAGCTCTCAGCTTTCAGATCACAGCCTGAGTTGCATATTGATAGGTGGATAGACTAGACTAGTACTGCAAAGATTGGGAAAATGAAATCGCCCTTTGAACTACAATCTACAAAAATGACCAGAATGTGTGTTCTGAATGTAAATGAGTTGACTTCCAGATAAAATAGAATATTGAAAGGGGAAAGAGAATCTCCTAACTCACTTCTACTCTCCAGTATGTAATTCAAAATTACTCTTTGTACCAAGACACAGGGAAATCTCAACTCACATGATAAAAGGACCCCAACACCAAGCAAACTCAAGTGCTGGAGTTACCAAAGCAAGATTATCAAATAACTATAATGAAATTGCTCCAAAAAGTAATTACAAATACTCTTAGATAATAAAGCAAAATATCCACAAGAAAATAGAACAGAAGACCCAAATGGGAATTTCAAAACTTAAAAATGCTATAACCCAAAAGCAGGAGAAGGGAGGAAATTATGGAGGTAAGGAAGGAAGGAAGGGAGGGAGGAAGGGAGGAAGGGATGGAGGGAGAAAGGGAGGAAGGGAGGAAAGGAGGGAGGGAGGAAGGGGAGAGGGAGGGAGGGAAGGAGGGTGGGAGGAAGGGAGGAATGGAAGAAAGGAGGGAGGGAGCAAGGGAGGGAGGGAGGGAGGGAGGGAGGGAGGTAGGGTAGGATGTTGTGGTGCAGTAGGTTAAGCTGCTGCTTGCAACATCCACATTCCATATTGGGATACCAGTTTGAGTTCCAGCTACTGTACTTCCAATCTAGTTTCCTGCTAATGTGCCTAGAAGGCAGCACGTGATGGCCCAAGTATTTGGTCCTTGCTACCCACATGGAACACTTGAATGAAACTCCTGGCTTCTGGTTTCAGTCTAGCCTGTCCCCACTGTTGTGCACTTTTGGGGAGTAAGCCAGCAGTGGAAGATTCTCTCTCCCCCACCCCTTGCCCTTGCTCCTAATCTGTATGTGGGTGTGTGTGTGTGGAGGCTGCGTGCATTTGGGTCTGTCTCTCTCTTTCTGTTTTCCTGCCGTATAAGTAAATACTAGATCTTTTGAAGGAAAAAAAAAAAAAAAAACCTCACCAGAGAACTAAGTAGCAGAATCGAGAGGATTGAGGACTCCTGAATGTGAAGGTGGATCAATCCAAAGTAATCAAATTTAAAAAAGTAACCAAAGTTAAAAAAAAAACAAAACAGGATGTTCAAGACTCTGGGACAATAGCAAAAGTGCTAACAGAAGTTACCTGAAAACTCAAAGGAAAAGGAAATTTGTATAGGTCTGAAAAAAAATTGAAGCGACAATGACCAAAAACTTGTTGGTGACACACATACATGTACAGGTTCAAGAAGATGAGTGAATCCTAAGCAGAAGGAATCACACTCAGACACATCAACACATCATAAACAAATTTGTGCAAACTAAAGACAAAAATTTTCAAAGCACCAGGAGACTTTTCATCAGAAACCATGGAGGACAGAAAGAAGTTGCACAGAATTTATAAAGACTTAAAGAAAAGAACTTTCAACTCATAATTCAATATTTAGCAAAAAAAAAAAAACACCTTCAATTCTTCAGGAATGAGCATGAATAAAGACTCTCAAATAAAGGAAAACTAATAGAGTTTTTTGTAGTGAGTGTTTTACTTGGTATTTAAGACACCAGCATGCCATATCAGAATGCCTGGGTTTGACACGTGGCTCTAGCTCCTGCCTCTAGCTTCCTACTAATGCAGACTCTGGGATGCTGCAGTGATAAATTAGGTAATCAAGTTCCTGCAATCCATAGGGAGAGCTGTATTGATCTCCCAACTCCTGACTTTCACTGGGCCCAGTCTTGGCCATTGTGGTATTTGGAGAGTAAAATAGTGGATGGTCTCACTCTATCTCATAACTAAAATAAGTAAATAAATTTAGAGAGTTTATCAATATATCTAAAAATATCTTTAGAAAGTTTCTCATACAGAAAAAATAATCTTGGGAGGAAATTTGAGACTTGGAAATGAAATTGCTTCAAAACGTTTTCATCAAACACTCTTAGATGAATAAAAAAAAAAAACAAAGCCCAAATATATGGGTAAATAGGCTATACTCCTGAGTGTTTTAAAGTATGTTTATAGAGGAAAGAAAAATTGCAAAGTGTCTTCTGTGGTTAATATATTAAGAAGTAATATTTGTTACAAGTATATTACAAAACAAGGAGAGTGAGAGGCTCTGAAAGTTTATATATTTTCTACTTGAAGTAGTAAAATGATGCTACCAGTACACTGTGACCTATTATAAGCATATTATAGTTATGAATTACTTTTGGAATAAGTACAGCAATGACTGAAAAACTACACAAACTAGAAAATGCAAAAGACCATAAATTCAGGTTTTTTCAACAGTGACACTATTGACATATTGACTAAGTAATTCTTTTTGTGGGTGACTGCCCTGGGCATCATAGTATATTTAACAGAATCCTGCCAGTAACATCCTCCCATTTATAATAAGTAAAAATGTCTCCAGAATTGTCAAATATTCCCGGGGGGCAAAACTGTTTCCAGCAAATAAACACTGCTAAATAATAAATCAAAATATAATTTAAAAAAATGTTCAAGTAACACAAATGGATGTAGAAAAGTAGGAAAAAGGAATGAAATACAGAAGGAACACACAGAAAGAAAATAATAAGAATGGCATGAAGAGCTCTGTGGGCCCACTCCCCAGCAAACATTGTAATAATTATTATTATGCTGTGATAATCTGTATTTTTACAGGCCCATGCTCCAGGTCCATTCTGTAAGCTCCAAGATATAACAGTTCCACATGGTACAGTGAAGAATACAAGGTACATTTCCTGAGCTCTAGTTGGAGGACTCCCCCTTGAAGAGGCAGGATATCAACATTTTTCATTTTGCCCCTTAACTACTTGTCATTGCTGCAAGACTACGGACAAATATGACAAAGGTGGGTGAGCCTTTTCCCTTTACAACCACAATTCGTGAAAAAGAGCCTTTGCTTTTGGTCATGGACCCCTGGAATGTTGCGTGTTAGTGTCATTGCCCTCGCCTACAGGGTGAGAGTTCCAACCTAAGGAAAGAAACTGAGAGACCTGAAACTGCAATCTCCCACATGGACCAAGTGATCAGTATCCAATAGGGGCAGTGAGGGGGCACTGCCCCTTAACAGAAGTATGCCATTGACTTTCTCAGTAGAAGGACTGTAGCTGAAGAGTTTTCCTTGGGGAGCAATTGATTGCAGAAAACAGTATCTCAAAGTTCTTCCCCAAAACTGATTTGCTTGCTGTAGAGTATGGGGAAATTCAAGCCTCAGTGCAGTCTCAAATGCAATGGAAATTTTGGTAAAAGGTAATAGGAAGAGATTGATAAGGGGATTAAAGATATAGCCTTCTTATTTTGTGGGGTGGCCTAAATAGGTTTATTGGAGATATAGCCTTAAATGTAAAATCCTGGGATAAAAGGGGAAAGAGACAGCAGGGAAGAAAACCCCTGGGGTCACAAATCTCAGATACTAACTTCAAAAAAAGCCTATATTTGATTGGATATCTGTGGTAAGCAACAGATGTCCCAGATAATTATTAAAAACATCAGAGCAATTAGTGACACTTCAGAGGTGGACATGGACAAGGAAAGAGATAATGAAACAGAGCCCTTCCAAAGCCATTTTCACCCCAGGGTGGACATTGTGAAGTCTGAGCTCCTTGAAGACCCCTGCCAGAGGCTTATACTGGTGGGGTGGTCCCTGTGTAGGCTCTGTCCAGGTTTTTCATGTGAGAAAGAACTCAAGAAATTGACACAGATGAAGGAGAGGGGAGAAGCAAGATTTATCTAAAACAAAGTACACACTCAGGAATGGGTGCAGATAAGACTGGGAGAGAAGGAGCTGCAATTAACAACATTTCGGGCCTTTTACACAATCTGCAGACGTCGAAGGTAGTGTCTTGGGTCTGGATTGACTGAACGTTCAAGGGGATGAATTTGAAGCTTGGGGTACCATCCACTTCCATGCCATTTTTTTGAAATCTCAGAAATGTCATAGCGTCAGCTGCATGAAGAAAGTGGAGGAGTCATACGTGTTAATTTTATTATAATGATATTGTAATGACCTGAAGGCTGGGACACAGCCTACAGCCATATAGGATATTTTTAGTTAGCTCTAATTCAAAGTTTCACCATTGCAGAACTTGTGGTTTTCTACAACACAGAAAGAAAGGGAGGTTGTGGTGGTGCACAGAATGGGGTTTTAGGTGGTACACAAAAAGGGAGGTCCGGGTGTTGCAGGGAAAGTTGGGTGGTTTAAATAGCATGGGCCAGACAATTGTATAGCCAGGGCTGACAAATCTTAGCTCATCTCTGGTATTACTACCTTGCTGCCTACATCATCTGACTAAAACCAAAGACATCATAAGAAAACTGTAGGCCAATGTCTCCTATGAATACAGGTGAAATAATTTCCTCAAATTGCTAGCAAATCAAATTCAGCAAAATAGAAGAAAAATTATACACTATGACCAAGTGGGATATATTCCTAAAATGAAAGGTTGATAACATCCCATAATTATTAACAAAATACACTATGTCAACTTTAAAAAGCCATATTATTATGTTTACTTACGCAGGAAATGGCATTTTTGAAAGAATCCAACTTTTTTATGATTTAAAAAGAAACACTGAACAGATAAGAAATTGGCAGAATTTCTTACATGACAAAGAA